GAATCAAAAATAAGATCTTATTCACAAACTATAACGGTGTGTTTTCGCTGAAAGAGTTAAATTTTCTCTTTTGAGAATACGCCATGACAACAATACTGAGTACACAGATTGACATTCTTGCCACAATGCGATAGTTACTAACAAAAACAAATGGCATCAAATTTAAATTTTCTATCTTTGTACAATAATATTTTAGGTAAATTACCTTCGAAATAACACTTCAATCTTGCTTCGGTCCAAACCGTAGGTACTTTGTGTACCTTGAACCAGGCTCGTGCCTCAGGATAGTATGTGTAGTCCGGTCGGAATTGGCTGTGTGCTGTTCAAAGGTCCATGTAAAGAAATAAAAAAAATATATATATATATATATATATATATAAAAAAGACTACATCTCATTCATTGTTCAGCGGGGCGATTCTGTAAAAATTCGTATCCGAATTCAAATTCACTCATGTGTTCGTATTCCCGTCATTTTGTGTAGAAATTCTATTGATTCCATTTTTTTTATAAAAATACAAAACAAAATTGATTAACTATACGTATCTCATAGTCTAAGAGCCCGTGAACTCCAGACCTACGTTATTTTATAAAAGCTGAAAGTTTGTCAGCGGATTCTCCCAACACAGGTAAGAACGATGGACCATTATGGAGTTAGGGTTATAGTGGCTTTGGCAGGTAAACGGTGTGTAAAATACCGATCTAAATACGTCAAACAGTAAAGTGCAATCTTTCGGTATTACCTTCAGAATATTATTAAAAATCACGTTATTCATTGCCAGACACTTAACATAGTGGCAACCCCTTGCCAGACACCCTTAATGTTCTAGTGTAAATGTTATAGAATAAAAGCTGATTTTAATATATAATACTTAGGTAATAAGTAGATGATGTTTCCTCATTAGCCAGAAACTTTTCATAGTTCTAACCCTTTGCCAGACAAGCATGTAGGGTAGCTGTAGGAGAGCGCGAGTCAGTATGCATATGTAGGGTTCGAACGATACTTTGGATACCGAGAAGGTATCGATACTTTCAAAAGCGATACTCGATACTGAGTACTCGATACTACAGCACGGTAAGTACTCATTAAAATTGCCGGTATCGAGTATTGCTTGATATGGCTTATTTACAGTTTTAATTTAGCTTCTATGCCTAAATTTAATAAATCTTTGGAAGTATTAGTCTGTAGTTTTTCTATTTTCACTTTTTTATTACCCTGGCCTCAATACAATGTACTTCTGAGTTTCTTCAGTCGAATACATTAATAAAATATATTTTTAAGAAAAACCCTGGAAATACATTAACATTTGAATGAAAATAAAAACAATAATAATGTTTCAGAAAAATCCATAAATTACCATTTATTTACAAAGTTAAATTTTTAACGTTACATTTTATCAAAGCAAGAACATTCTGCCTCCATGCGTTCTCTAATTTTGTTGTCAGTAAGCTATTCTTGATTGTAGATCACATCAATTGCTGTTAGGGGTTGTTCAAAGCTGTCGCCTAAATATTTAGAAATCGTCTAAGGTAAATATGCATTTCACCAATGACTAGGAACCACCTAGCGACATTAAACAATGTTTATAGTTATACATCACAAATGTGTCAAGGGATAAAAGAAAACATGATTATTTGGATTTAAACTCAACTGTTAAGGCGATTTTAACTCAACTCTTAAGATTAGGCGTTTTCTAGTTAAGCTTTGCCTTATTCTAGGTGTGTCTGTAAGTACCATATCTAATCTGGATGACAGCATTCCACATGCACACCACGATGAGGAGTTGATCAATCGACAGCATTCCCAGCCTTTCTCTCGCCACGTGTTGTTTGTAAGCTTATTTTTTGTACACAACTTATGGTCCTAGAAAAGGATATTTTAGTTTATGTAATGGTTTGTTCTCTCTGCCTAGCCCATAAAGGGTATGGCGGGAAGATATAGATAGATAGGTGTAATGTGAATCTTGTTGAATTTTTGAGACAGTTTCCTTGATACGTATTGTAAGTACTGACAACGAAAACTTGCAAAAAGATTCACAAAATTCTCAGCGAACGGCACGAACATGTACGGCGTATATTTTTTTTCTATCATTAACTCCGCCATTTGTCTATTTTACTAGGCAATTAAGATTTAATAAATAAATGTATATTGTTTTATATTATTTTCCACTAGCAGTTTTTCAAAGGAGAGAACTTTTTAAACTTCCAGATATTTTTTTTATTTTAAGCAATGTATTTATCAATTGTCGGCTGATTTCGATGTCATTCTTTGCTCGTAAGAGGTAGATATACGTGTAGGACCAGTAACTTTGTTGCAAATGTTATTGTTTACGTTATTACGTCGTATAACGTTGTTATTGTTTGTAAAAATATATAACGGCGGGTAGTCCGAATGGGCTATTACGAAGCCCAAATAGATAGTCCATATCGGAGGACTATCTTTTAAAATAACACTGCAGGCGTGTATACCAACGTGGATTTGTTCCATTTTATCACTTTTCTTACGAAAATATAACGACATGAGCGTGATGTCATCTGAAGTCTTTACGCCTCGGCGTTTGGAAACAGAATGTGTGCCAAAATGGCGGCAACTTGGTTTTTATAAACGAACTGTCAAAGTCAGTGTCACCATTCTAATCAAATTAAAAGTATCGATGATCACGCTCTCTTTACAATCGAGTAATTAAGTTATCGAGTAACTAGCAATTAAAATAAAAGAAACTAAATCAAACAATCTTCGTAATGATGATGCGACATATATGTATATTGACCCATCTGATTTATAAATAAAAAAGTCACATTTAATAGAATTTTGATGAACACCATTTTCATGTTTTTTTTTTAATAATTTTATGTAATATGTTTAGTTCGTCTTTAGACTCTGTAGAACTGATGAAGATCGTGATATATGTGTTATCAATATCACAAAATAGAGCCTTTTGGGGAGAAGGTTAACAATTTATGTAGGTACTACTTTGTGGTAAAATGTATCCACTTTTATAGATAGCATTTATTACATTCGTTCAATAGATTAGGATATTAACTCTTTTTCACATTACACACACCGCTACAATTCATGATGTACAATGTGTAGAGTGAAAATAGTAAAAATAATTATGAAAGAATGAGTGAATGAATGAATAATCAAATGAATCAATGTATGAATATTCTTTATTATACCATGAAACAAATCCAAAAAGATACAGTAACACAAAAGGCGGCCTTATTGCTAAGGTAGCAATCTCTATAATAATTTCCAAGCGTAATACTTTTTGTACTTTAAATTGAAACTCTCATGATCGATGATAAGTTGAAAGTTGCTTTTGTCTTCAATTTTCCATTTATCCATCATATAACTATATAGGACTAGCTGATTTTCTATGACTTCATCGATCTTCATTATAGGCTATGTCATCCGCGTATGATATAGCTTCCCGAAGGTGAAAGAATTGTTAAAGTCGGTCCTATAGTTTGGGAGCATATTCGATGCAAACAAACAAACAATCATATCTTTCCTCTTTGTAATATTAATATAGAACTTTATAATACAGAACTAGGTAATTTATCTTACCTGTAGTGTTTTTATTTGTTAATGGTGAAATTTTCTTACGTATAGTTTTCAATTGAACGAATATAACACTGTTAGGTCAAAAGACATATCATTTGCGGTATTTTTGTGAACGACCGATAGAATAGATTTGCACACAGATTAATAATAAACCATAAGTCACGGTTCTAAACAGGAAACTGATCAGTCTACTATCGGCCTTTTACCTTATTCAAATTATTAATAAGTTTCGCTAGCGGAAAACCTGTTACCAGCAGTATCTTCTTGTCTATGTCATGCTACTCATTGTTGTTTCCATTACGACTCTAACACCATTGCGCATAAAAGCACTTTCAGTTTTTTAGTTTTGGACCGAAGCAAGATTGAAGTGTTTAAGCCTTACTTGATACAAATACCATAATTACATTCAAAGTCAAAGTCAAAATAATCTTTATTCAAATAGACTTCTTAAAAGTACTTTTGAATCGTCCAACATTTTTTTCCCTACCACTCGTTCAGGACGTCTTTTGGCTGATAAGAAGAACGAGCAAGAAACTCGTCAGCTCTAATAAGAGTAATGATATTTACAAAAACCATGTCATTACCAGATCTAGATATGAGCGCCGAATGGCTAATTCCACGGCGGCGGCGTGGTGTAAAATATTCTACGGCGGCGACGCACAGTGGTCCCGAAAAAATAAAACATGGACATTGAAGCTACAGCGACGAAAATTTTTTTGAACGTTGATAAAGTGATAATATATAAGGCAAAAAAATATTATTACCCTGACACATATCGCACTCCCGGTGCGACACTGTCACTTATGCAAAAATTTTGTTTCTCAGGAGAAGAGTTTTAAACTCTGTCACCTCACAAAACAATGACTTTAGAAGATACAGATGAGATGAATCATACGGAACATAGTTCCGATTGATTCATAGGTACGAACATAGGTACGATTCATCTACAAAAGTAACATTATCGCACCAAGTAAAGGGGGCTTTAGGACAATTATTACATATTTAACTAATTTTTGTATTTTTTGCAAAAGTGACAGTGTCGCACCGGGGGTGCGATATACTTTTCGGTAAAAAAAATATTTCGTTTTTTTTGTATGGGAGAAATTACATTTTATTGATTTTCTCAAAAATTTAAGCGATGTCAAGATGGCAATCACATATGTGACAAAACTAATTATTCTGAGTATTTCATTCGAAGAAACTTATTGCCTATCGCTGCGTACTTTGGAGATAATAAGCATCAAAATTCATGTATTTTGTAAATTCAAATTATAGTTTTGTACGAGTTAAATATATGAAAATGAGTTTTAAAATGGACTGTTTAGTAATAATAACGCAGGTTACACACCACTGTTAAGTATATATTCAAAAACATCTTGTTTTTACATTCAAAATGCTACATTTTTATGGATTATAAGTCCGCTGGCCAGAAATATGAAGCTTCGACGCGAGTTTGCCGGAATAACAATATGGCCGCCTTTCATGACGTATCATGACACGCTCTCGCACACGTCAGTATACAGCTAAATGTGATTGCGATTAGACGTGTTTCGTTTTCTGTACGCTTGGATAAATACCTCAGTTGTTAAATTGTTTGTTATATTATTGTTACTTGTTTTTGTTATTTTTTTAGAGTCTTTGGATTATTATAATTTAAAATTTTATGTTTGTTTAGCTCTCGTTGATTTTATTTTCGTTATTTTTTATTTTTGGTTTAAAATACCTTTGTTTTTGATAGGTACCTTTGTCTTTGATAGGTTTTTAACGTAGGTTTTGAAGTTTTTTTTTAATTGTTTTTTGTATTATCGTTTTCCACTCCTTGGATTTTACAATTCAATCATTTTTTGTTCATATCGACAAGAGATAGCTCTATTTTGCTTTTGTTGTTTTTTTTGTTTTTGGGACAAAATCACCTTGTCTTTGACTTGTCTTGTCTTTAAATATCCTTTTTGTACAACAAATAGGTTGAATAGAGTTTCCTTAAAAATTATAGAACATGTCCGCATTTATCACCAACTTAGATTTATACGTTGCTCTTAAATCTGGAGGTGGTTCAAAAAATATTGATTTTCTTTTTAAAACTCTTACCAAACGCATTGGTGTTGAATTATCTTCCGAAGATTTAAGTATTATTAAATTATATTGTCGTAATTTTTCAAGTAATGTCTCAAAAAGATGGTCTGCTTCTAGCCGAACCCAAAAAACGTTTTTGAACAAAAATTCACACTGGTTAGAGTCTGAAATCGTTTGGCCAAAATGTAAGAATATTGATTTAAACAACACTTTCAGAGTTACCGAGGAAGAAGTTCCAATCATTGATACGCTAGTAGATAATCAAGCAAGTTGTAGTACTAGTAAAAAACCTTTTTTGGATTTATCTGATAATCAAAAGAAAAGGCGTTCTCTCACACTTCTAGATTACACTGAGGAGGAACTTCTTTATGCTTTATGTTTTAAATTAAAAGAATCCAACAAAGCAATATTAGCATCTATAATAAAAGAACTTAGTCAAAATGAAGAAAAATGTGAAATCGTAAGTGACGTTTTATTCACTGTAAAAACTGTGAAAACTGTGAAACCGTGTTTACCTGATAATAAGGCGTTGGCGCTTGTCACTTCATTAAATCTGTCAAAATGGCAATATCTTAATTTGAGATCTATTCTTGCTTCAGATAATATTTTTGGTCTTCCGTCCTATCACAAGCTTCTGGACGCTAAAAAAAGATTTTATCCTCCCGAGACAGACATTATTGTAACTGAATCTGAAGGTAGGATAAGACTTCAATCTCTTCTAGATTTAACTACTAATAGGATATTAAAAACAATTCAGCACAACTCTGCAGACAAAAAATCCTTAAAAATGTAAACTTACATTCATGGTATTATATGCCCTCAAGTATACATAAATTGCTGATACACGGTGCTTTCATTTGTGAATCTTTCTCCTTTATTCCGATAGGCATTCTTTCAGAAGAAGCCTCCGAAGCAAGGAATAAGGATTTCCGGAACGTTAGAATGGCACATACAAGAAAATTCGGTAGAGCTGAGACTAATTTGGACATAATTCACAATTTTCTAATTAGCTCAGATCCTTATATCACACATATGAAGCCAAAGTTTGATCGTTTACATAAAAAACTTTTTCCAGAGGTTAGTGCGTTGATCTTGAATAATGAATTACTTTCAGTGGAAAACGAGGAAAAAGAAAACAGTGATCCAAACATTAATCTTTTAACCTAAAATTTTTTATGTATCTTTCGAAGTGAATATGAATAATTTGAATTTTTTGTCTTCCTCTTAATAGTGTTTTCCATAACTAATGGTACTTCTCGTTCTGAAAGGTCGTATATAAAAGGATGTTTAACTGCTTCTACCCGATCCTCCTGCCTGCCTGCCTGTCTGAGGGTTAAGTGACAGTGAGACCCACAGCTTCAGAACATTTTTTTTATGTATTTGACAAAAGAATATAATTGGCGTACATTATAAGTGCTAAAGTTATTTTAAGATTCGAAAAACGGCACATATAAAATTAAAAAAAAAATGTTTCTTCTACCTCGAAAATCTCGGAAGTACGCAGCGATAGGCAGTAAGTTTCTTCGAATGAAATACTCAGAATAATTAGTTTTGTCACATATGTGATTGCCATCTTGACATCGCTTAAATTTTTTGAGAAAATCAATAAAATGTAATTTCTCCCATACAAAAAAAACTAAATATTTTTTTTACCGAAAAGTATATGTGTCAGGGTAATAATATTTTTTTGCCTTATATGTTATCACTGTATCAACGTTCAAAAAAATTTTCGTCGCTGTAGCTTCAATGTCCATGTTTTATTTTTTCGGGACCACTGTGCGACGGCGCGCCGGCGTGGTTTACATTTTTTAAGCAATATGATTTCTTTTAAGAATAAAGAAAATCATATTATTATTAATACTTAAGAAAATATATATTTTTTATTTTATTTTATTTATTCAGGTATCAAACAGTCACATACAGATAATGTTGAAGCTACTGTTAACAAACAGACCTATAGTACCATAAATTGACAGCATAATAATATCGATAGCAAGCAATGCATGTAAATGACGAACATCACATAAACAGTGCACCATTAGCAACCAAAACTACGGCCATAGACCACCCATTTTTAAGGGAATGAATGTATATCTCATATGAGCCACACTAATTATTACAAAATTACTATTTAAACAATAATTCCCCCACTCTTGCCTTGAAAACATTAATTGAAATTGAAAAAATATCTATCTCATTCAAAAACCCATTGTAAAAATTACATGTTCTCCTGAGAAAAGTATTCTGCGCATATTTCGTATGACAAAACGCAATACAAAAAGTATCCTTCGAACGTGTTGAGGATCGAGGAACCTTCAGTGATATTTTTTGTAACAAAGCTGCCGAATCAATATGACCGAGAATTAGCTTATACAGAAATATAGAATCTAAGTAGTGTCGCCTACTGGATAGTGATTGTATTTTATGTTTTCTTGCGCTCTCTTCGTAATCATGGCAATAAAAACCAGTTTTGTAATTCAATGATTTCAAGAACTTGTGCTGAACACGTTCTATTCTATCCTTATGAACTGCATACTGAGGATTCCAAACTACACTACCAAATTCGAGAATGCTGCGAACGTAGGCGCTATATAAAATCTTAAGTGTATTACCATTTTTGAAAACCTTACCCAAGCGAAGGATCAAGCCCAACTGTTTATATGCCTTGGCTATTATATAATCAATATGTAAGTTAAAATGTAGTTTCGAATCTAAAATTATACCAAGATCACGGATTGAATTTACACGAGTTATGCTTTGATTAGAGACTCTATAATCAAAGTGAATAGGGTTATGTTTACGAGTAAAAGTTATTATATTACATTTATCTAAATTCAAGGACAAATGATTGATGAACAATGATGAACAAATGAGCTCTACAAAAATGTTCAAAATTATTTAAATCTTCTTGCAATTTTTCACAATCATCGAGACTACGAATCATTTTGTAGATTTTTGTATCATCTGCATACATAAGAAAATGACTTGGCGAAACAAAGACCTACATAATTTACATATAAAGAAAATAGGAAAGGGCCCAAATGGGACCCTTGAGGATGCCCGAAGGAATATTAAGGAATCTAGATCGGTAACCCTTAAGCGCAACAGCTTGACTTCGATTGCTGATGTATGATTCGATCCATCTAAGTAGGTCACCATGTACACCGATCCCCAGAAGCTTTTCTATTAATACACTATGATTAATTTTATCAAAAGCCCTGGAGAAGTCGGTATACACGGCGTCCACCTGATATCCAATATCCAATGCATTCAGCACGAAATCAGTGTATTCAACCAAATTCGTATTAACACTGCGACCGCGAAAAAAACCATGTTGTTCCACCGCAATAGAATGTTTCAATCGATCCGACAAAAAGTCAGTAACCACTTTTTCAAAAATTTTTGCCAACACACACAACTTTGATATGGGTCTGTACTGTTTTATGTCATGTTTATAACCACCCTTTGGAATTGGTGTTATTAATGCTTTTTTCCAAATAGAGGGGAAACTTCCTTCCGTAAGCGACTTTCTATAAATAATATTTAGTGGTATTGACAACTCCTTTGCGAATTATAACAGGATGTAAATTATCGAAACCGGCACCCTTGTTGATATCGACCTGTTCGAGCAATTTTTCAACGGTGTGTTGGTTAACTAATATGGAAGAGATATCAGCCAAACACGATGAACCACAGCTCTTCGCAGCAATAGAGCAGTTAGTGTTATTATGACATTCAAAAACCGAATTAAAATAATCATTAAACATATCACAAATAATTTCAACATCCGATGAAGACTCATCGTTAAAAGTCATGCGAGCAGGTATGTTATGACCACCAAACTTACTCTTTATAAATGACCAGAAATACCGCGGTGAAGATGCAATCCTTTCTTCCGAAAATTCTATAAATTTTTTATAACAATCCCTCGCAAGCTGCTTCTCCTTATATCGTAAAAAAGAAAAAGCCCGATAATCCAGATCGCATGCATACTTTTTCCATTTTGCGTGCACTCTAACTTTCTGGCGGATTAGTTTAATCAAATTTCGAGAGTACCAAGGCGGATATTTAGAATCTGATCTAACTAACTTTTTTGGAATATATTTATCTATTAGTTCATTTAAGATTTCGTAAAAATAAGACGTACATTGTTCTGCATTTAAGTCGAGAAACTTCCCTACCCAATCATGCCCAATAAACCTTCACTAATAGCCTGAAAGTTAGCTGCGTGATATATTTATTAGTTTTAATTTTTGGCACTCCTTTATATGAGCTATAAAAGGCAAAGCAAAAATAATTTCAAGAGATTTGTGATGGGCGTCTTCGGTTGTAAGAGGCGAAGGTGAATTAATGACGTCACAGTTACCATTACTTAATACCAAATCAAGGATACGTTCATTAACATTTTTAAAACTATTGAATTGCTGTAAACTACACAAGTTCATACACTCTAATAGTCGTGATGCCTTAAGATCATTATTTGTATTAAACTGCATAGAAGAGCTGCTGTCTAAATACCAGTCGGCATGAGTTATGTTAAAGTCTCCCAAAATCAGAAAAATGTCGTCCGGATTATTCAATATAAGTTCTGAGGTTTTCTCGAAAAAAGACTGCAATCTGTCAGAATGATCACGCTCATGCGGGAAATAACAACAGGCTAAATGTAATATGTGAGAATGTGTATCAGTCCGCAAGCGGGTCGCGAACGCGAGCGCATGTAATATTAAGAGTGATCCACACCACATCCACGTCGTCGGCCGAGCGCCATTCGTCACGACGGCGAGCGGACAGGTGACGGCGCACCGCAATGAGCACCCCCCTCCCCCCCGCGACTACCGCGGCCATCAGTTATGTTCCGATCTCGTCGGTAAACAATATAATTATTATAAAAATATTCTTCGCTATTGAAATTTTCTGTTAACCAAGTCTCAGTCAAAAATATTAAATCATTGTTATTTAGTAGCACATTAGCTAAAAAAGATTCTGATTTAGTACGTAATCCTCGCACGTTCTGATAATACACATTAAGTTCCTTAAAAGCGCACATTTTTAAAGATAAAATTGTTTGAACTACACACGCATGAGCGAATACCCCTCCCAAGTTTTGAACAGCTAGGTTTTAATAAGAAAGATTTCAATATAAGCGAATGGAGCAAGTAATTAAAAAGGATATCATATTTATAAGTGCCTATTGTACAAAGATGAAATAGGTAACAACATAAAGTATCTATACAAACAGTATAGAATAATTATTCTAAGATATTGCTTTTTTACATTCGTATACATTATATCATTATACTCACATATATTAAGCTTAAAACGAATAAACTAAAATTAATTGCCAATATAAACAGAGCAGATAAGTATTTAATTATAACATCCCTTTGAGCACCAGTTGCAACATAATAAACTAAGTGAGAATACAATGCATACAGTAGACAATGAGATAGGTTAAAATTATTATATAACGATGCTTTTCCACCTTTGTACACTTGATAATAACAGAAAGCATAGATGCAAGCAGTGTAATTCTCTATTGATATTTTATGATTTTGTTTTTTGACATTGATATACATTAAATCATCATATTCATCATATATTATATTAAGTTTAAAACAATTAATTTCGTTAGATTTAATTTTCAATACAAAGGGAACAGTTAAGTATCCAATTAGTATATCCATATAAGTACTCATTGCATCCAAGTGCTCCAAGTAAAAATACAATATATATAGTAGCCAATGTGAAAGGTCATAGTCATAATCTAATAACCTTTTACCCTCATACACACAATAATAACACAAAGCATAGATGCAAAAAGTGACATTGTCCATTAATATTTTATGATTTTGCTTTTTGATATTCGTACACGTTAAACAATCATATTCATATACATTAAGGTTAAGACGATTAATCTCATCAAATCTAAATATAAACGGAAAAGATACGTATTTAGTTAGTATAGCTTTATAAGCACCCATCGTATCAAGAAGAGATAAGTGAAAATATAATGCACAATAGTAGCAAATGAAATAGGATACAGTTATTGTACAAAGTTGCTTTTTTACCTTTATACATATTATATAAATGAAGAAATCAAATAACAATGATAAGTAAATATACACTAGCGCAACGATTATAGAAACATTAGGACACAGCTCATAGACAGGTAGTAGTCACTTAATTTTATTTAAATCAGATTCCTTTGAAATACGGATTATATTGGAGCTATCAGTTTTACGAATAAATATTTTTGAGTCCTTTACCCACACATAAGAATAGAGTCTGGCAAGCGAAACGTGTCACAAGAAAAGGGCGGCAATTTCAAAAATTCTTAAGCAGTAAACACTGAATGTAGTACTGCAAAATAATTTTGATACTTTTATTAATTATATTTAATCTTAACATTTAGATATCAATTAAAATTATTTGTTTTGGAACATTTGACTAAAGCGTGACTGTTCTTAATTGTACAGTTAACAGCATATCAGTAGGCCTATTCACTAACTCAACTGACAACCAAGAATCGTCATCACCGTAAAAAATAGACACTTTGATTGTGTCAAAATCACTATTTCGTATTCTCTATCAATGATGAGCAATTTCGAAATGTCAATATCGGCATTCTCCACTGGACTCCATTTTGACACTTGATTTCGTATCGATAAACTGTATTAAAGTAACATTGTTGCAAAGCATATTTGAAGTCGTCGCATAGTACCTCTTAAGCCATTTGTTGTTAAATTAAAGCGAAAAAAAATACGTATCCAATATTTTTCTATTATCTGACTGACGGACTAAATCGAATCTTTTTTTTAACCCATTCGTTATACCTATTGGCTAACAGCACTTATAATATTAAAAATTCATATTTGTCATTAATTAAAAGGGTGTTTTTTGCAACGACTTCTTTGTTTTTTTGTAATGAATATGGGCGACTCTGGCCACATTTTTTTAATAAATGTGATGTTAGCCAATTTTGATTTCTGGCCCTTATATTTATAATGTGTTCATAACACATACATGTCTCCTAAGGGATTTTCATCACAACCTTTTGCTCTGATCCAGAACCACTATCTATCAAATTAAATTAGTCAATATAAACACCAGATTACAATAAAAAAAACATTTATTTTTGTTACAATTAAGTGCCATGGATAAATTACATAATACAGGTGTCACAAAATCATCATGTTAATCACAATAGAAAATTTAAGATAAGATTTTGACTATGAATCAGACTAAAAATACTTTAGTCTGATTCATAGTCAAAATCTGTTTCTAAATATTCTACACCTGATAACAATGACAAGGAATCATCAGAGTCACTCTCTTCACTACTGTCTGCACCAACAGATATAATAAATTTTTCAAGTTCGTTTTCAACAATGCCATCTTTTAATTTGTAATCATTTTCGACATTTAAAACATGATCAGTGTATTTCTTCCAGTCACTAGGGGTAATTAAGTTAAAACACTCTATTATTAAGTTTTCCATTTCCTTTCCTGGTATTCCAATGTTTCTGCTTGCAATTTTTCTTTTTGCTTGACTCCAAACCATCTCTATTGGGTTTAAGTCACAATGATACGGTGGCAGCAATAAAAGTTCATGATTATGTTCTTTTAAAATCTCTTCAGCTTCATATACAGGCAATGTTTTCTTATCATTAACCAAACACATTAACTCTGCCTTTGTCTGATATTCCTCAAAATGTATTCCATTATTTACAAGCCATTTACGGATATCTGCTTTGGTATTAGACATTATAGGCGGTTTATTGATTTGTTTTATATGGTAGCTGGCATTATCCATAACAATTACACTGGGCTTACTTAAATTTGGTATTAATTTTTCTCTGACCCATTTCATAAAGTTCGATGAGTTCATATCATCATGATAATCAGCAGATTTGGATTTACTACTGAACACTAATAATGCACCAGGCACAAAACCTTCCTCAGATCCAGCATGCACAACAATATGCCGTTTTCCAGAGGATATCTTTGTAGTGACACCAGTTGTTGAAGGTCCTTGCCAAGACTTTTTAACTTTATAATTCTGATGTACATAAGTTTCATCAAGGTACACAATTTGCTTTCCTTCGTTTCGTTTTATATTTATTTCTCTCAAATACTTGTGCCTCCATGCAGAAATCTGGTATTTTTCTATAAGCATAGAACGTTCATTTTCATTGCTTTTAAAAGAAAATCCATTCTTAAGCATAATTTTTCGTAAAGTCTCACGGCTACCACTGAATCCTATTGCATCTTTTAATTCATTGTGAAGGCTTCTTAATGTTGGAACAATTTTTTTCACACAGTAAAATTCATTTACTTTATTCCGAATTGCACTTAAATCAAAATTATCTAAAGCAGACACTGTTGGTTGATGAGGTCGTTTTTTCCCAGGAGTGTCCCATTTTCCTTTATTAATTAATGCTTCATTTTTTATCCTTCTTAGTGTCCTTATACTTACATCTATAAAAGATTAAACACTTTGAAACAAAGATATGTTAAATGTATTTAAAAGCAAATAATGATAGACACATACATCAAAATAATTTAAATACCTATTCAACTATGAATGCAATTTATGTTTAATTTAGTTAAGTTTATGTGCATATTTAGCATGTATAACAATTACATGGTTTGATTAGTTTCATGAATTCTGTGAATTTCCTTGTTAAACAAAACATTCTTATGACATCATTGGATGTCAACAATAAAAACCAATACATCATAAAAAACCTATGTAAATATTATAGGAATACTATCAATCTATCTTAAATCAAAACAAGAAAAGAGACCTGTCATTGAAGAAATTTTTTGTAAGTACTGCGTTTCCGAATTCAGCATTTCTTGTTTTTCTAAAGTTTTTATTGCATTTATCTCCTCCATTATTGGTTGAATATCACCATCACAGTTATCTGAAATAGAGCAATATTTTATAAAAAATATCTGTTTAGTTAATTACAGAAAATTAAAACGAAAGTATCAAAATTATAATACAAAACTAACCTAAAAAAGATACAACTTTATCTAATCGTTGTAATTTCTCCATGAAATTTTTATTTAATTCAGTTTTCACTTCAGTAAACTTGTCAATCATGATGGAAAGAAGTTTCCTCGATGAACTTTTTATCGGCTTCGACATAATTTTTAACCAAAAACACAAGTTCAAATTCGCAAAAACAACAAAATTCAATATTCTTGAATTGTCTAACGTAGTGTCAAACTGACAGTTCTATGTTGTTGCCATATGAAAACGGAAAAATAGGTGGTGTCACGTTTCGCTTGCCAAACTCTAGTATTTTTCAACTTTAATTTCACGAACTCGTTTGAGAAGCAGTTTATTTATCGGCGTCAGATGATCACTAACATACTAACGGCTGGCGGGTCCAGGTAGTCCAACGTCAGCAGAGGTCAGGCCACGTCGAGCCCGCACAGCTGCAATGAGCTGCTCCTTTCGTCTAAGTTGAACAAGATCCAATGGTCATGATAAGCAACCGGTTCGCCTAGGTTGGCGAACCGGTTGCTTATCATGACCATTGGAATCAGAAAGATAGGGCCGCACTCGATGGATGGTATCTATATCACTGTCAGTGAGTTTGAATCTCACAATAGTGCAAATATTATTCAATAATGAGTATAAATTTTCGCCCTTAGTTGAAGGTATTCCGGAAATTTCAACATTATTTTGTCTTGAAAATTGATCTTGCGCATTATTCTCACACTTTAAATCAGTTATCAATTCCAATACTCCTTTTGAATACTTGTCAAACTCGATAATTTAGTTTCAGCAGTTAGTAATCTATCCTCAATACCAGAAAACCGGCTCTCCATTTTATTCCATTTAGTGTTAAGTTCTTGCATAGATGTCTTTGTACTACGAATGTCCGCTTGAACGTTTCCAAAGTCCATTTTCATTGCATTGAAATCCACGCGAAGATTTCGTATTTCTTTCAATACTTCAGCTATCGCAGATCCTCCTGTTTCAGTAGACTTGGTGCGACAAGACATACAACGCCATGCAGCTTTCTTTTCAAGTCCCATTCTTCTGTAACCGGACTCCGTAACGCCAGCACATCCATAGTGAAAATTACCCTCACACAGGCTACACGACGCAAAATCCGTGACGGCATTGTTACACTTTGCACATAACATATCGTTTTACGTTTGATTATTACAAACTAATCGATTCTACTTTGGCTAAGCAACCTGTTTATTCCGGTTGGTAAATTTATAATTTTATCTCGGAGCAGTCGTAATAGCATCCGTCACTTACGAGCGCACGCGCTAAAATTTTGAACAGTTTAATCATTTTTGACAGAACTAAGATAAATCACATTTCTAAAAACTAAACTAGCATCAGTCATTTTAATGAAATCGACCGATGTGAAATTGCACGGTCTTGAATTGTAACTATTTTTAAGAGAAATAAAATAAAACTGTTTCTAAAGACATAAACTCGCAACAATCATTTCAATGAGATCGATATAAACTATCAACTAATCAAAATTGCTTTTCTGAAGCTGAATATTTATTGCTGAAATAAAAAAAATAGCCAGGAACCACCTATATTGGTCGGTCCACATATCAGCGGTTAATGCACCAAAACGAGGACTCTGATTTATATATATATTTTTTTTACATCCGACAGCATACTGTACACATCTTCCAATCCTTTTCATACTATACCTATTGTGCCTGGAGGGCAGCTCTGCATCGAAAACAATAATGTTGTTTGTACTTTTTCAAAAAGTCAATCATTGCATCATTTTCCACAGTGTCAAATGGAATCAAAGATCTGGCAAACCAAAGAGCCAGATCTCGAGAAAGACACCACTTATTGCTCTTCTTCAAACTGCTTCTGGTTTTTGGAGTCCTTGGTGGAAAAAAAAAACTGTGATATGCTCGAAGGCTGCTACTTTTGCGCATCTTCTAAGCCATATGCTTCTTTCAAATGTCTAAGAAGATAACTTGTCGCTATACTTTTAGAGTAAGCTTTCACCATAAATAGTTACCATTATTACTCATGAGTCGGGCCTGTTTTACTGCTAGTTTTGCTAACATTGTTCAGAGTTCGGTACAATAGACATCTGCCGCTATTGCTGGAGCAGATGGGAGAAAACTATAGTGAACAACACCACGCTGAGACCACCAAATAATTACCATTACCTTTTTATTGGTAAGTTATGCTTTAGGACACTGTTGTGGCGTTTGACTGCGGGTCAGCCATTGCATTTTTCTTTTACGGTTATCATAAATAATCCACTTTTCATCACATTTAGATCCAACATTCTTTCATTTCTGTACCGATTCAACAAAGCAAAACAAGTTTCAATACGCATTTTTTTTTCTGCATGTCAGTCAAATCATGAGGCACCCACTTTTCGTATTTTTTTATTTTATTGATTTGACGCAAATGAGTTAACATTGTGGGTAAGATAACGTTAAACCGCTAATTCCTGATTAGTTTGACTAGGATCGGCTTCCACAATCTCTTTTGATTCATCGTAATTCATCTGTGTGGGCAGTCTTCTTCGTGACTCGTTCTTTATCGAGTCGAAGTTTCCATAACGAAAGCGTTTAAACCAAAATCGCACGGTGCGTTCATTAGTAGACCCCTCTCTCCAAACGAAAAATTGATATTGCGGGCTGCTTCTGCCGCGTTACTTCCAAGTCGGAACTCGTATTCAAAAATCAATCGTATTTTCGCATCTTTCTTGTCTAAGTCGATATTCAAATGTTTTATATTTTTTTTTAAAGAAGAACATCATAGAAACCTTATTTAATGAACCCGTTATCAACCCGTTATAACGGGTAAATATTTTATTAACCCGCGCACCGGCGTAGCGCTCATATCTATTTCGTATCTATAAATAGGATGAACAAAAAAGACACGCTTTATTGTACAGATATTTCCTTTGGTGATACAATGGCGAATAGTAGTTACATTGAAGTAATTGTTTTGTGTGTGTTAACTATTCTAGTGAAAAATGGATTAGCAGGTACCAGTGAACATTTAATTTATTACCTATCTCTGAAAATAACAATTTTGAAAAATGAGAAAAATTTATCCGAATTATTTCATAAATATTATCATCTTTGAAGAAAACTACATTTTATATTTACACGTTATTAAAACAGTATTTGTTTTATTATATTATATAAATATAATTGGCTCGGTTCTACGTGGCCTTATGTAGATATAAACATAGATAAATTACCTAATATAAGCCGACAACAATTGTCTTATACAAATTTCAATGAGACTAATAATTTTCCAAACTTCAAATTAGGTAAATATTAGAAGAATTCACTAATATTTACCTAATCCGCTCGCCAACAGATGGAATTTTATTTCTATGTATTACATTATTTGGTGGAAATGTGAATAGGGAAGGGTGAATTCCGTCTCAACTACATGTACAGTCCTGAAGCCAATGGATGGATCAAATTCCACAGAGTGCCGGCTACCTGGTTCGAGGCAAGACTCAAGTGCTACTATGAAGGTAATTATATTTTTCGAAAGTGCCCGTGACACATTTGATGTTTTATCATAGAGTCTAATCATATATATAATAAATAAGACATCATCCTAAGTAACAGTTATTGTGTCACTTACACCCAGTTGCACAAACGTACATTAAGGTATAAACTAATAACAATTTTGTAGGACATTTGTGAAACTAGGTGCTAAAGTTACATATTTTCTAAACTTTTCCAAAGTAAAAGATTTTTCAAACATCTGGCAATTTTTTCATATACCAATTAGTTTTTTTTCATTTATTTGGGTAAACAAACAGTGAAAATTTGTAATATAGGTAAAAATTAAAATATATATAATAATTTTTAAAATCGCCGCCTACATCATATTTTCAATACTCGGTTTTTGGATTGATTTTTACAACTCTTACACGACTACAGTTTTAAAATTCCAAACGATTAAGTAACAATATAGACTACTTATGTGTATAAGGGAGTATTTCAAGTAACATTTTTTTTAAATATACCACGACTCACCGCCATAATATCTATCGAATTAAAAGATATGTTAAATGTATTAACCATACGGTAAAGTGGCGAGCGCTTGCCGGCATTTGTTCGGCATCGAGCAGTTGCAAATAATTTACGTTGATTTCTACAACGAATTCTGGTTGGTTGGTTCTGTAACTTAGTTTATTTATTAAAGAGATACAGTCATATTTGTAGATATAGACATAGATCGTAAAGCATTTCCATTTCAAGTAAAGTACGTCTTTGACTTAGATCTATTATATTATACTTTTTAGATAGCTGCTCATAGGACAAATAACAATGATAACATCTTTAATGCATAACCTGTAAGAATCTATAAAAAAATCTATTGAGATCGGACTGAAACTTGTCTTGACCACTACTACTCTCTATGGTGTGATAAATTTTTAGATCATCGGCATACATGAGGAAACTACAATATTTGAAGCAATTCCGAACATCATTAATAAACAGTGAAAATAACAAAGGATCTAATATTGAACCTTGAGGGACTCCCGAACTTATTGGGGCGAAGTTTGATTAATGTCCATTAATAACAACCTTTTGAGTGCGATTTGTAATGTATGACTTAAACCACCGCCAGAACGTTCCGCGTGTGCCATTGAATGCTAGTTTTTCAAGTAATAACCGATGGTCAACCCTGTCAAAGGTTTTTTGGACATCTGTAGGTATATATAGCATCAATCTGTTTATTAGCATCTATACTTTCAAACAGACGTGATGTGTACTCTAACAAATCGGTAGCTGTAGATCGCTGTTTAACAAAACCATGCTGTTGTGGTATGTTAATAGCTAGTGTGACCAATAAATTTATTAAAAATTTATTAGATAAGCAACCGGTGTTTGTCATAATCGGCTCTAAGTGAGATCCACGATTACACCATTCTAGGGTTGGTAGATTAAAATCAACGACCATAATAAAATATTTTACATCGGGAGCCTGAAATACGGATAGCTCGGGGCGCACAGCTATCTAAACGCCCACTGCCGTCATACCGGCCGCTGGCTATGCGATCTCTGTCCGAACGGAATACTCTGTACCGTGTATAAAACATTTCACTATCAGATATGTTCTCAATCAACCAAGTCTCGGTTAGGATTATAATATCGTAATTGTGAGATAGGACATTCATATATAATGTTTGCAATTTTTTTCGAAGACAGTTTAAACATAATATAGGATGTATATAGATAGAATTATAGACTAGGCGTATGTTTTTAGTTATATCATAGAAATCATTGTGTTTTTAGATAAATAGATTCGTACATAAACAATTTTAAAAAGTATTCATCAGATATACACCACAGCATGTTAACAATGCACTGCACATATCGAAGAACCAAAATCACGAAAGATTTTGTCAAATTTCAAATGCTAACCAGCAAACAATCTCCATTTTTGCATACAAAGTTGTTAGAGTGCCTAACAGGCACTACCACGCATTGTAACAAAGCTAGTTAATGAGATTTGAATTTCGATCGGTTTATGTAAGTTTTAATTAGATTTCTTGACCATTCAAATCAACAATCGTTCCAAAAGCAATTGCGACTTTAAAAGTTATGTACTTCCATAAATTTCAATCGCAATATATTTCAACAATTAGCCCACTGGTCTGTGTGCAGGCGCTGTACTGATGTCACCTATCAACTACCAGCTGTACTGGGCTATGAAGAGTCTGATGTTATCGCGCAATGATGCCTCCTTCACAGGCGTAAAGTCACTCACCCACACAGGCGACTACAAGTCTATCGAAGGTACAAACGATACACAAGAGATTACAGCCTTAAATCATACTTTGAAATTTAGTTAAACTTCAAAATAAGTTCTATGGTCGACTGGTACAATATGCAAATACATATGTTTTGTTTATGTATATCAACGTAGATTATTTCTTCATCCAGTTTTTGTTTTCAGCTCGAACAAGCATTTCAAACCATTATACTTTTTATCCCTCGTCTAGAATTTCAGCCGGTTACTTTTGCAATATCTTTGCGATTTGTAGACCGATTTTTTAAACCATAACAAATATATCGAAATATAATTATATTGGAGTTATATCTTGGATCAAAGTGTTTAAACTTATGAATTATTTAGTAGATTTTGTTTATGACAAAGAGTTCTG